ACTTTACATTACCTAGGGCACTTTACACAACCCTGAGGCCCAGGTAGCACTCCACACCAAAAGTCAGAGTCTCTAGAAATGGGACAGGCAGCCAGAGTTTGTAAATCTCCACAGAAAATTCTAATGTTGGCCAAGGTTGAGAGTCATTGCTGAAGAGGATTGCATGGCAGTAGAAAGTGGGAGCCATGGAGGTAGATAGAATCTTCTGCAAAGTCTGAGCATGAAGGCCTTGGGGGATGCTACTGGACAGTTAGCAGGTTTCAATAGCTGCAGCCCATCACTCCCAAAAAACTACCAGCAGAGGTATGGACACTTTCTTTAAACTATGCACAGATACTCCTCTACTTAGAATAGGGTTGCATCCCCATAAACTACTGGCATTTAGCCAGGTGCTTCTTGACTTCTCTCTCCACTGAATGAGTTATTTTCACAGGATCATAACATCAAAAATTTGTAAGTCAACCTATTGTAATTCAAAGACCATCTTCATTGGTTGGATTTTGAACAATTTGCTTCTAATCTAAGCTTCTTGACTGAAGTTGACCAAAATATAATTTAGATATTAAGAAAATGAAGAGAGTGGTTGAGGCAAGCTTCAGCAGAGAGAGCCTACAGACAAGCTTAAGCTCGAGGGTCTTCAGAAGCACCCAACCTCTGTCTCTCACTCTAGTAGGCTCAGGGCTAGTTGATAGGGGTTCTGTGGTGATGGTCTTGAGAGTAGGGTCTAGGAGGGAAAAGGAACCTATATACCATTGACTATCACATGGAAAGTTAGACAGTCCATAACAATAGATGGACTTTAGGTCAACACCATGTCCTTGCCCTGGATCCCTCATCCCTGGAAAGGTCGCAGTTGGAAGAGGACCAAGGGAAAGCCTTCATAGTAGTGGTTCTTAAATGAACATCAGTATCACCTGCAGACCTCCATACTCCACAGATTGTGGAGTCTTATATCCAGAATTTCTGATTCAATAAGTCTACAGAGCCCAAGAATTTAAATTTCAAAGATAACCACAGGTTGAGCATTCCTACTCTGAAAATCCAAAATCCTCCAAAATCCAAAACTTTTTGAGCAACAACATGATGCCGCAGTGGAAAATTCTACCCACACCTGAGCTCATGTCACAGTCAAAATGCTGAAATACCAAAATACTGTATAAAATTGTCTTTAGGCTACGTGTATAAGATATACATGAAATGTAAGTGAATTTCATGTGTAGACTTGGGTTTTATTCTCAAGACATTTTATTACATTCATGAAAATATTACAAAATCCAAAATACTTCTGATCCCAAACATTTAAGATAAGGGATATTCAATCTGTAGAACCATGCTACTGTGGACCACACCTTAAAACTTGACACACAGGACCCGCCATGTACTGGAAGAGGTACACTGGACTTGTCTAGTACTCCTTTGTTCCTTAAGAAAGAATAGAATGTGGTCCTGTAGGGACCAGCAGTTAGCATAAAGGCTATGTCACTGGACTCCCATGTAGTCAGCCACAGTTCGAGTCCCGGACCCGGTGGCTTAAACTCACGCCAGGCGCGTGTGCGTGCATGCCCATGATACCAAGAGGAGAATGGAGGAGAAGGGATTACGGTGTGGCCATCCTACCTGGGGGGTGATTTCTCACTTTCTGTCTCTCTGCCTCTCTTTCTCCATCTTTCTGGCGAGCACACATGCCCTATAGCAAAAACCTCTCCAAAAAAAGAAAAAAAAATGTGGCCTTGTGATTAACTGAGATTTATGCCCACACATTTATCAAAAATGTGAGTGCATTCTGAATTCTGCTTAAACGACTACCCCATGAAGACAGATAGGGTTTTAAAAATAGATTTGCATTTAGGTTGTTTGTTCCTGATGTCTCTGCATTAGAAATTGTTAATATTTAAATCAGATTTAATTTTAGAACCCCAACCTTCACTAGCATGAAACAGAAAACAATGACAATAATGTCTATGCTAATCATTTGGTGTTTCAGTATTCTGGACAGGGGGAACTTCTCTCTCCAGTAGCAATACTAACACTGAATAAGAGAAGGCCTAAGGCATAGAAGATGCTGGACAGGACCAGCATACAACAGTCAGGCATCTAAATGAGATTGGTGGGGGACCCTGGCATGTACCAAGGTGGCTCAAGCCAGGTGTTACAAATATAGGGCCAGGGAATCTGTTGCATTTGGTTTACAGTCAATCCCCCAAGGAGGCATCTGATCATCTAAATTGGAGGCCATTCTAGCTTGTAGTGGAATATCCAGATATTTCCAGAGAGTCATCTCACTCCTCTGATTATTCCACAGATGAAAAGCTGAGGCTTTTTATATTCCGTAGGAAGCAGTCAAGGCCCCGACTGGGAGTTTCCCATTTCTGTCTCATGATGTTTAAGGCCATCACGTGGTCCTCTCACTCTCTCCTGCACCTCTAGCTTAGCCATGTTTGATTTCTGGCCAGTTCTTGAACTCTGAGATTCTGCAATGCTTTTCCTTCTTTTCCTAATGGGCTCCTATTCATCCTAAAGAACCTTGCTTGGATGTTACCTCCACTGTGAACAAATGTCTCCAGCTAGTCTGGCAAGATATACCAATTCCTGCCTCCACGTGTTTCCATATCATGTCAAATATGTATCATGCAAATCGCAGTTTACTTTCAATGCTTGTTCATGTGGTTGCCTTTCCTTACCTCTAGGTTATTTGTTCTAGGAAGTTAAGTATCATGTCTCTTCTTTATGTCCCTTGTACCTAACCAAGTAGCTGGCACAGGGCCTGAGACTTTAATTGGCTAATTAATTAAATGAATGAATCTCAGGGCTTGGGTAAGGGAAAGCATTACTTAAGCATCCAGTAGTGATGCAGAGTGGAAAACAGAATCACAGAGCACTGGAGTCAGAGGGGTCCTTAGCTATCATCCCTGCTGGCTCCTATCTTATGGAGGATAAAGCTCAGAGACACTTAAAGATGCCAGGTAACTGACCCCAGTTCTAAATCCAACCCCAACAGAGCTTTGAAATATTCTTCACCACAGATTCAAACTTTTTATTGTTTGGTTTTGTTCTGTTTTGTTTTAGAAAGATTTTTGCTATAAGACATGTGCACTCACCAGAGAGACAAAGAGAGAGATGGAGAAAGAGAAATCATCCCCTAGGGGGATGGCCATGCCATGATCCCTTCACCTCCATTTTCCTCCTAGTATCTTGGGCATGCACACACATGCTACCAGCATGAGTTTCAAGCCATCAGTTCTGAGATTCAAACCGGGGTCGGTCATGTGGCAGTCCAGCACTTTACCATCTGCTGACCCAGATTTAAACTTTTTAAAAGGTTGTTGAAGGAAGTCTTGATCTTAAGCTTGAACCCCAATGGATATGAGAAGAACTCCATATGGATATGTTTTCTGAAACATTTTAAGGCAAAAGAATATTTTCATCAGTAGGGGAAGGGAAAGGAACGGAGACAGCTAAGTCCTTAATTTCTTGGTTTCTAGTACCATGAAGACTGCTCTAGTAGCCTTTTGACCTCCTTTGTTCTCTAACTCCTTTTTATTATTAGGAGTTTGAGAGCTGTGGTGGTTTCGCTGATATCTGCCTGCATAACACAAGACAAGAGGGGCTTGAAGGAAGATAAGTGGTGGGGGTCTCCACTGGAAAGAGATGACGGGGAGAGAGGTTTTGGGAATTGGAAAAAGCATAGAAACAGAAAGGATAACGATGTCATCCTAGGACTTTTTTTTTTTTTTTTTTTTTGGTGGTGGGCCAGAACATACTACCTTATAACAAATTCTGTGGTAGACATAATAATTCATTTATTCATTCAAAAAACATGCAAAGTCACTTGCTATTTAAAGCCCTCTACACCCTTCCTCTTGTGCTGAGTATAACATCATAGCCTCTTGCTACCTCTTTGCAGACCTGGCTCTTTCTGCCTCTCCAGCTCATTTCCTAAGTCTCTTCCCTTAACACTCAGCAACTTTGGCTTGTTTCTATCTCAGGGCTTTGCATTTGTCACCCCTTTTGGCTGGAATGCTCTCTGCCTCATTCCTTCAGCTCTCAACTTAAAGGCCACTTTTCCAGAGAACTCTTTGCTAAGCACCCTGTCTACAGTGGCTCCTCGGTAGACCCTGCAGCCGCCCTTTATTCTCACACTTTGCTTATTTCCTTCATGGCATATAATGAATCTGCAGAGATGTTTACATAAGACTGTATGCTCCATAGCACAAAGGCCTTGTCTGTTATATTCATTGTTGTGTCCTCAGCATCAAGAATAGTAGCTGGCACATGACAGGTGCTCAGGAAATATACTGAATGAATAAATGAAATCAGGTTTTTGAAAGTGGGCAGAAAATAGAAAATTCCCATTGCTTCTAGAAACTATAAGCTAAAATTGAATAGAATTTCTCTTTGTGTCATCTCCACTGCTTGTAATTCTAAAATCTGACTTTCAGCATGGTACTCTGAGATTCATGACCTTGTTCTGTAAGAGCTCCCTGTTACCTATCGTGTGGTCAAGTTGTCTTCTTTGTCTTCATTACTCATCCGCATTTTTATCAAAGCACCAAGTTGCTCAGAAATCTCAAGATTCGTTCTTCTAAATAAAGAATGTTAGCTAGACTGGACCCAAGGCCTGTCACATCTGGGCATGTGTAAGATACAGAATAATTTCTATTCCGATGCTAGGTTGGGGTCTTCTGGACCAGGACTTTGGTGTGGGTCTGGAAGCACTCATGCTGATGTAAGATCAGTCATAGACTGTGTCTAGGCCAAAACACTCTTTGGCACAAGGGTGAGAGGCAGATGCTACCCCAGGGTCCTGCAGGGCCAGGCCCCTGCAATTTCAGTAGCTGAACTCTAGCTCCTTCCCGGGCTCAGATGCTGGTAAAATCCTGGATCTCAGGCAAATGGGCTTTGTCCTTGTGCACACCACTCCGCCTTGCCTAGGGCACAGGTATCCACCTGTTGGAGAATGTGGTGAGGTACCTGTCTAATGCCAGCTCTCCCCTCCACAGAGTCCTGACCTGGGGTCGTGCATTCCGGGGCTGGATGGCATGCTGGACCCAAGCTCAGCTCAGCGTCTGGGCCCAATAACGGCTTTTCCAAGGGAGCAGCTTTCTATCCTGGCCACACTGAGGTAAGCTCCTGAGAGGCTCCAGAGCCACCATGAGCTGGGGATACAGGGGGATGGTAGGATGGAAATGAGTCACACATGGAAGAAGGGGAGTCAGATCCAACTGCCACTTAGGAGGACCTGGAGTACCTTTCAGTGGTACAGAAAATGTGGCTCATCTAGCTCCCCTGGGAGAGAAAGGCCCTCCTGCCTCCAGGCTGGTCCCATGGCTTCTGGTGTCTGAGCCACATCAGGAGTCTATGGCAACAGGGCACAGGGCCTCTGATAGAGTGTCGGTCAGACTCTCCATATGACTCTCCAGTTGCTCTGATCAGGTACTCCCGAGCAATAGGCCACTCTTCAGGTCTCGGCAGTGGAGTGAGGGCGGGAAGAGTTCCATGTCTGGACATAGGGAGGCCTGGCTCTGAATTCCACTTCTGTCCAGCATGTGCTCATGACCGAGTTAATTAATCTTACTGCATCCCTGTTTCCTCATTTGTGAGATGGGAATAATATGGCCTACCTCCAGATTTATTGTGATGGCTTATTAGACAGTTCTGCTCAACAAATGATAATGATCATAATTATCTGACCTCACTCATTTTAAGATGTGACTCCAAGAAATCAGATCAGTAGATTCTGTTTACATTCATGGAGTCAGCACACCTGTCCTGGAGACCAATAGCCCCCAGGTGCTATACACTTTTTGGCCACATATTTCTTTCTTTCTTTTTTCTTTTTTTAGTTTAATAGTTACTTAGTATAAAAGGTTTGTGCACAGTATAACAAATACAATTTTTACAAATCTGTTTTGAAAAAGTTGTGGCTGTTTATTTGGGTTTCATACTCTTAATTACTTCATCCACCAGTTGTTTTACTTCTTAGTGTCTTGTAACTGCTCAACTCATACAGTCTGAAGTCTAGCTCCTGTCGGCCCACTCCCGCCTGGTCTGTGAAGACAGCAGAGCTTGCCTTCCTCATCCATTACTACCGTCACAGCTCCCATTGTCAGGTGTTCTTCCTCTCCAGTAGGGTCAACTATCAGTAAAGTGTCATCAAACATAGCAAAGGAGGTTGCAACTGGATGAGTTCTAATATTCAAATAACTTTTCTCCTTTAAATTAACTTCTGCTAGTGCAGTTTCTTCATTTATCGTAACTTCAGGCAACTGTATGTTTCTTAAAGCCGCTAACAAAGCAAATGTGCAGGCATTCAAAATGTTTCCATCATAGTCGAGGCAAATGAGAGCACAGTACAGAACTCACGCAAGCTTTCCTGGAGAAATGTGTAAGTCCTCCTTCTGAATTATCTGTGAATTTTCAATGACGTCTGCAATGAAGGCTAGCTACTTGAGCCTCTTCTCCAGGAGGTCCTGACCAAAATCTTGATGAACACTGGGGTGGTAGATCCACATCTGGAACAACATAGCCTTTGTCAGGGGCATCTGTTGGTGGTGCTCAAATTCCACTTTAACTCCACAAATTACTGTAGCTTTTCCCAGCTTCACTAATGCAGAACCATCTACAGTACTAACTGAACCTAGGTTGATAGTTGTGGTTCTGAGTTCACCAAGTTCTCTTCCATCGAGACAGCAGCTCTCCTTCAGAAATCTCTCGTAACGCTCCAGAGGTTCCATGGTTTTGAACCCAGCCGCCATCTTCCTGCCTCTTGGCAACATATTTCTAGCATGGGTATTTTCAGTGCTTTTCGATTGAGTCTACATGATGCTCAGAAACCTAACAAGAAAAGATATAAAACCAATTACATATCTAAATGTTCCCCAATATCTGGGTTTGTCACATCAAGAAGCTAAAACATACATCTGTTGAATGGAATTTTCATTTTTATGTGCAAGTAGCTCAGCACCTATCAATTACAGTGTTCGTGCACCTTCGGACCTCTCTCCTCTCTCTTCCAAGCAAGACTGATCCTGCCACTCACGCTCTAAAGTGTGAGAACCTCTGGGCTTTCATCTTTGATGTTCCTTCCAGGCTAGGCCTTCTCCCCATAAATCCTGTCTGGGAGATGCAGGCAGAAGTTCTGGGCTTTATTCAATCACTCTCTTTCCTTCTTCAGGCCAGGACACCTCCTTGAGGGAACTGAGGAACCACAGAATCCCTCTTATACTCGGTGCAGGCTCCAACAGCTGAGAGTGTCTGCATCTTTACAGCTGGAGACAGCAGCCAGTTTCCAGTGAAAACGAAGGCCAAATGTAAAACAAGAAACGACCCTTGGCTCATTTGCAGAATGTGGCTAGTGAGATGGAGAAGGAGAAGGAGAAATTCTTGGCCACAGGAACTTCCTCTCTGATCAACAGTTACTGACCCTGTTTCACTAATTCAATCTCTAGCTCAAAATTCACTGACAGCTCTTGGCACCTTTCTCTAAGGGAGTACACCTCCCTGGTACAGTTGCTAAGTTCCCAGTGCTGTCAGCCCTCCTAGCCACAGATATTCAGGTTGGCCCTGTCCAGTGGCTTAGCCCTATCCAGCAGCTTTATCACCTACTGAGGTAGAGCCCGTGTGAAGATCATTCACCTACTGCAGGACGTCTCTCTTAGGATTGGCGTGTGTGGACCACTGGAAATCCAGTGAATGTACTGCCAGCCCCACAGGGCAAGAGAACTTAGTTGGCCCCTGGGTTGCTGCTTGTAAAGGCATTCCACCCAGTCTCCCCACTCTTAATCATTTGTCTCCCATTCTGTGTAGGCACAGGACAAATAAAGAGCATTCTCACACTTAACACAGCACGTTCCTTCATGTGAGCCCCTGGATATTCAGCTTACAGGCTTTGCTTGGCAAAGCCACTCAGGGGTCTTTCCTCTGTTCAGGAGGAAGGTGTTAGAGGTTATTTATTAAAATAAGTAAATAAGGGGGACCAGCAATTAGTGTAATGGCTATGTCACTGAACTCCCATGTAGCTGATTGCAGTTCGAGTCCCAGACCCAGTGACTTAAACTCACGCTGGGTGCATGTGCATGCGTGCCCAAGATCCCAAGAGGAGAATAGAGGAGAAGGGATTGCAGCATGGCCACCCTCATTTTCTCACTTTCTGTGTCTCTGTCTCTCTCTGTCTTTCTGGTGAGCACACACGCCCTATAGCAAAAACCTCTCCAAAAAATAAAATAAATAAATAAGAGACCAGCAGATGACAAATGGTTATGTCACTAGACTCCCTGTAGCTGACCACAGCTTGAGTCCTGGACCTGGGGGCTTAACTCACACCAGGCACATGTGCATGCATACCCCAAATCCTGAAAGAATGGAGGAGAAGGGATTGTGGTATGACCATCCACCCCGGGGAGTAATTCATCACTTTCTGTCTCTCTGTCTCTCCTGTGAGCACCACGCCCTTTAGCAAAAATCTCTCTAAAAATAAATAAAACGTTTTTTCTGGTTCACATTTACCAAGAAGAAAATGTTCTTTTCTTCACTGTGCACTATATCCCTAGAATAAAAATACACTAGTCTCTTTCTCTTCTTTTAATCTTCTGATGATTTTTGAGAAAAGAGACATTTTATAGAAAATTTTAAAAGATTATGGGAACTTGCTATTACAGACTGAGCATTCCTAATCCAAAAATTTGAAATCCAAAATGCTCCGAGATCCAAAACTTTTTGAACACCAACATGATACTGCAAATGTAAAAATTCCACATCTAACCTCACGTGACAGGTTATAGCCAAAGCACAAACACAGAGCATCCCCAAGGATAAAAGGCCCTCCCAACCTCCTTGTGTGGTGATGCCAGACAACCACATGTCCACATGGGTGGCTAAGATAGGGCTGCCTTTGCTTTCTGATGGTTCAGTGTATACAAACTTCGTTTCATCCACCAAGCTATGAAAAATATTGTATAAAATTACTTCTAGGGTATTTGTATATAAAATAAATAAATTTTGTGTTTATAGTTGGGTCCCATCTGCAAGATATCTCATATGTAGATATAAATATTTCAAAATATAAAACACTTCTGGTTCCAAGTATTTCAGATAAGGAATACTCAACCTGTAAGAGTCAATCAAGTATTATTTAAAGCAAACAAACAAACTATTCTTCAAATCTAAAACCCAAATGAGAGACTTCTTGGAATCATTTTCAATCTTAATGAAACAATCTATCCATGGTGAAAATCTTCATAGTGATTAAATATCACTTGGCATTACCTGATATTGTCACAGTGAATTGAGAAGTAGCATTAGACTTCAAGAGTTGTGTGAATTCAGTTAAGTAGAACCATCAGATGCTAAGCAGAGTGGAAAACTTCAAATCAAAGCGAGTCAGAGTTGGACGATACCATTGACATCATTGCTCAGATGGAGAAATTAAGGAACAAAGAAGGAAGGAGACTTCTCAACACATGGACTGACTTTTAGAGGTGGAGCCACCGGGGGTGCTGGGTCACATGGAGAAACGAAGATGAGCAGCGTGCTGCTCTGCCTACAGGGAGATGGCCCACTAGAAGGGAGGCCAAGAGGATAACAAACTGCCATTAGAGAGCATGAAGGAAATTCCTTAAGAGATAGGGGTGGGGATTTGTCTTGCTGAAATTAGAAAAGGCTCCCTGGTGAAGGTGGCATTGAAATTGGTTGTTAAAAGATAACGAGTAGGGGTCATACAGTGCCCTAGCAGTAAAACTGAAAGCTCTACAAGATTTACCCACATAGGAATGTTCTGGATTCATGTTCAGAGACCTCCCTGAGTAAGCCAGGCACATGCAAGCCCTAGAGCCAGAGCTGGCAGAAGCTGGTGGTGGATCGCACTGTTAACAAGATCTTTATGGAGGTGCTCTGTCTTTCTCATCCTCTCTGTCTGTCTTTCTCATTAAGGAAATAAACAAATAAAAATGTTTAAAGAAGACAACAGGAGGGATTCGTACCAGAACAGGTGGGGAGCAGAAAAGGCATGGAGAGGGCAAGGGAGCATGCCTGGTAGGAAGAGTCTGGAGTCAGACAGTGGTGGGGAGGCACAGAGCAGCAACTAACCCTCAGAGTTCAGAGAGCCAGGAATGCAAGCTATGTGAAGGGAGTAGAAGGAGGCAGAGCCTGCCAGGCTGAGCAGTGCTGACTGGCTTGCTAGACGAGGAGTTCATCCCTGGCTCCTTTGAGCAGAGTGATGTGATCAATGCAGTGTTTTAAGATGGGGCCCATAACATCAGGGGGAAGACTGTTCCCTTGACCTGAACTCAGGGCACAGGAGAGAGAATGGAAAGGAAAGTACAACTTCAAGAGATGCTATGGAAGCAAAACCAAAAAGGCTGGATTGAGGACTGGAAGAAGGGCAGAGAAGAAAGAGTAGAGTCCAGAGGTGAGCTGACGTTTGTCACTGGGGCCTGAAGGAATAATGGTTCCAATGAAAGAGAAAGGAAGATGTGAAGAAGCATATTTTGGAGGATGGGGAGAGATGATCAAAAGAGAGAATAGGTGTGAAACTACTTTGTTACTTATGAAGTGTCCAACATGGAGTTCCTGCTTTTGAACGCAGAGGAGAAAAAGGGGGAGATGATGATCCCAATGAAGACTATGACTATGAAGAGTTTTATACTGGATATCTTACATTTTAAATGCCAGTATCCATGGAGAGTGGGCCTTAGGAGCCTGGATGTTCAGAACTGGCTTTCCAAGAGCAATGGAGCTGGAGATCCATGTCTGGGCATCAATTGGCAGAAATTTCAATGGGATCCTTAGAAGAAGATGAGCTCACCAAGAAAACGCTGTAGAATGAGGTGAGAACGTCTGGGAATGATGGAAAGGAAAGTACAACTTCAAGAGATGCTGTGGAAGCAAAACCAAAAAGGCTGGATGGAGGACTGGAAGAAGGGCAGAGGAGAAAGAGCAGAGTCCAGAGGTGAGCTGAGGTTTGTCACTGGGGCCTGAAGGAATAATGGTTCCAATGAAGGAGAAAGGAAGATGTGAAGAAGCATATTTTGGAGGATGGGGAGAGATGATCAAAAGAGAGAATAGGTGTGAAACTACTTTGTTACTTATGAAGTGTCCAACATGGAGTTCCTGCTTTTGAACGCAGAGGAGAAAAAGGGGGAGATGATGATCCCAATGAAGACTATGACTATGAAGAGTTTTATACTGGATATCTTACATTTTAAATGCCAGTATCCATGGAGAGTGGGCCTTAGGAGCCTGGATGTTCAGAACTGGCTTTCCAAGAGCAATGGAGCTGGAGATCCATGTCTGGGCATCAATTGGCAGAAATTTCAGTGGGATCCTTAGAAGAGAATGAACTCACCAAGAAAACACTGTAAAATGAGGTGAGAATGTCTGGGAACATGGAATAGAAAGGAGATCACTCTAATTTCATCAAAATCCTGAATTTCAGTCAGTTCTTTTCATGTCCTATCCAAACTCTAACAAGTGTTACTAATTTGGATATAAATGGATGGATTTCAGTTTCGTTCCTTTTCTTTTAATCTACCTGATGAGCCCTATCATGTACTGAGGGAAAAAAAAAAAAAACATAAAACAAAAGAAGCAAAAACAAAGGGCTTAAATTCACTGCCAACTAATTAATCAGTTCTATAAGAGTTGGCTGGACCTTTATCTGCAAGGCCATTAGCCAACGGTACTGGTGGTGGTCAGAAGTCTCTGCTACATGGTCTGCTGGTGAACTGGAGCAAACAGAAACATTCTTCAAAGTGACCAAAGAAAGAATTTGGCGATTTCCCTCTTGGTATTTCACCAAAGAGATGTTTATTTCCAGCTGAATAAAAGTCATCTCGGGGGAGAAGAACGCATTACTTTAGAGTAGACTAGAGAAGCAGCATGAAGCCATCTGCACAAAGTCCAAAAGAAACCATATATCCTGCAGTGGAAAGAAGGTAGATGGCAAGCTTCTTGGGCCAGTCTAATGCATTCTTTCATTCATTCTTGTATTTTTTTTTTAAGAATTTACTACATGCTGGGCACTGCACATGGCCCCAGAAATATTTAAATGCAAATCACACAGCGTCTAAAGCACTCTCAAGGAAACAGAGAAGTTGATGACTATCCACAGCACGAGGAGAAGTAACGGGGTTACGCGTAAACTTCCTCAGAAGGCAAGAGCCACCCTGAAGGATGGAGTAGCCATCTTTACAGGCGGATGAGACACAGCTCTGCCCGCTAGGACCTTACAGACTGGGGGAGACAGAGTCAAATGACAGCTTTGAAAGAAGTCTGAAAGTGGTAAAACTAGTAAGAGAGAGAGCTGAAAAACAGTTTTTTTTTTGAGAGGTTTTCGCTATAGGGCAAGTGCGCTCACCAGACAGACAGAGAGAGACAGAGAGACAGAAAGCGAGAAATCACCCCCCAGGGGGGATGGCCACGCCGCAATCCCTTCTCCTCCATTCTCCTCTCAGGATCTTGGCACACATGCACACGCGCCCAGAGTGAGAAAAGCAAAATCTTGACCACAAGGAGATCGGAACCACTCAGAATTAACATAGATTTTGTGAGCACCTACTTAATCGTTAATAACCACCCTGGGAAATTGCGTTTATTGCTCAATTTTTATCAATGAGGAACCTAAGGCTCAGAAGAATTCAGTGGTTTCCTTCTGCTAACAAGCACTTGAGAAGGAATCAAAACAAGGTTTTCTAACCCCAGATCAATGCAGATTTCTTTGCACGACACTGATTTTGTAGGAGAGAATGTATACACACATGTGCATGTGTGTGCAGATATTCTAGTGCCCAGGATGGAAAGAGGTCACTTTTGATTGGCAGGCTCCAAGGAATAGGTAGTGTCGGTACCAGCATGAGAACACAGGCAGGGAGCAAAGTGGCTCATGAGAGAGGGAGGGAGAGGAGAGAGAAAGGACAGAGTTGGCATTTTGGATAACACTCTTTATAGGGGATACCTCGAATACTACCAAGAAGATCTGGGAAAGGAAGCTTCAAAGAGGAGGTGACATTTAATATCCATCTACAGTTGTGAATGAGAACATAATATAAGTAGAAATAGTGACGGACCCTCCCAGAATAGAGCTAATTCCATGATTCCTTGACTAGAAGGCGTGGAGGGTCCCTGTGGGGTAGTTGCAGCCCATTGTCATTGTAGCCTAGACATCAAATGAAACCTCTGTGACCCTCTTGGAAGATCAACTCTGAGGGTCCCAGAGACTTTTGACAACACTCCGTCCTCCGTGGAATAACCCTCGTATCTTTTCCATTCCAGGTGCGTAGCGTAATGTCCATGTTGTTCTACACTCTGATTACAGCGTTTTTGATCGGCATCCAGGCAGAGCCACACCCAGAGAGCAATGTCCCAGCAGGACACATCATCCCGCAAGCCCACTGGACTAAACTTCAGCATTCCCTTGACACAGCCCTCCGCAGAACCCGCAGTGCCCCTGCTGGGCCAATAGCCGCTCGGGTGGCAGGGCAGACGCGCAACATCACTGTGGACCCCAAACTCTTTAAGAAGCGGCGGCTGCGTTCACCCCGAGTGCTGTTCAGCACCCAGCCCCCACCCCTCACTGCAGACACTCAGGAGCTGGACTTTGAGGTCGAAGGGGCTGCCACCTTCAACAGGACTCACAGGAGCAAGCGGTCATCGTCCCACCCCGTCTTCCACAGAGGGGAGTTCTCGGTGTGTGACAGTGTCAGCGTGTGGGTCGGGGACAAGACCTCCGCCACGGACATCAAGGGCAAGGAGGTGATGGTGTTGGGAGAGGTGAACATTAACAACAGCGTATTCAAACAGTACTTTTTTGAGACCAAGTGCCGGGACCCTAATCCTGTCGACACCGGGTGCCGGGGCATTGACTCCAAGCACTGGAACTCGTATTGTACCACGACGCACACCTTCGTCAAGGCGCTGACCATGGACAACAAGCAGGCTGCCTGGCGGTTCATCCGGATTGACACGGCCTGGTTGTGTGTGCTCAGCAGGAGGGCTTCCAGAAGGGCCTGCCCTGCCGCCGGCCCCCTCTCCATCTGCCCCCCTCCACACTCTCCTGGGCCCCTCCCTACCTCAACCTGTCAGTTATTTTAAATTATAAGGACTGCATGGTAATTTATAGTTTATACAGTTTTAAAAAATCATTATTTATTAAATTTTTGGAAGCATCCTGTGTGCTGGAGCGCGAGTCCTTTTTCTCAGTGAGATCATCTGTGAGTCTTGGACAGATGCAGGGTGCACTGTCCACAGCAGCTCTGGCTCCCTCTAAGGCCACCTGTAACCCCCACTCCACCCCAAGCCAACACTGCAACTTCAAGGAAGGCTGGCTGGTTTGGGATATTAGCCTAAACCAGGCATGATTAGGAAGAGACGCCTGCTGGATTGCAGCTTTGTTCCACATTCCGGAGACCAAGCAGCCTAATCCTTGGATTACCTGCCCCACAGCCTGGATCCCTGAGCCTTGATTGCTTCACTTAGGGAAATTCATGGAGCCTCAGGAGGGGGCAGAGAGGCCCGGGATTGATCCTGGGGTGGGAATCACTGTGTAGATAGGGGAAGGCTTGTTTGCACCAGAGATCTGTGAGGCTGCTTATGCTTAGGAGGAGATCTGCTGTCTGGAAGTTGTAACAAAATCATCTCATGAGACCTGTCACGGTAGATCTGATTTCATGTTAAGATTGCCTTAGGAATAATGGCTGCTCCTCCATTTATCCCCCAGCGGCTTCCCGCAGAAAGACTTTACTTCCCCAAGAAAACATTAGGGCCTCCGACAGTCCTACCACCCACTAACAGCCCCAACAGCGACTACCAGTGGCCCAACATCGGCCCACAACCAAGGAAGCCAGAGACGTGTTGGGAAAGAACTTTTGAAAATTGTTTTATTCTTAACTGGTTGCTTTCCACACGTGATCCAAGGTGACTGGGGCCATGAGACCCGTCGAGAAGAGGGTGGGGGAGGAAAGACAAAGGTGAAAGGAGAAAGAACCGAAGGACATAAACCAGGGCAGATGCAGAGGAGAGGTGGTGGGGTGCAGGGAGCAGTGGGTTTCTGCCCCTCCCTAACCAGGAAATAAAACTGAAGGGGCAGAAAGAAGAGTTGGAGGGATGTGAGGAAGGGGAAGGAGAGGCTAGGAGCAGGAGAAGGGAAGTGTCCTCTCCCCTTTACCAGCATCCCTGTCTCTAAGACATCCAACTCCTGGGTGGTCCTTCTGGATTTTTATTTTAATGTGCTCATCCACACTGACTATATCGTGAGCATCTTAAGGAGTTAAGAAGGTGTCAGAGAGACTCCAGGCTCAGCCTGAAGCAAGCCTCCACCTGGTCCACGCTACGCCTTCCCCGCCAACTTTCATTCTGTACGGTCCCTGAAGCCACAATTTTCCCCTACACAGAGCAGTTACATTGACAAAGAAATTTCACTCTCCCACCCATCCCTCCTCCCCAGGATGCAATGCCTACTCTGGCTTTTAAGAGAACAGGCCCAAATTGTCCATCTGATGAAAAAGCAAATGGTCGTATTCATTCCCTCTGTGACTCTCACTGTCCCACCCCACCCCCCAACCCAATCCAAATAGGGCAAATTAGAAACGTAGGGAGCTTTGGCATGAGAGCCATTTGATTAGGGGAAAAGCATGCTAAAATGTGCCCTGTTTTTCCTATCAGAGCTACTGTAATTGGAATAAAGATTTATGTTCAAGAAACACCAACCAGAACATTCTGTGCTCAGATACTTGGTCAGATAAAAGGCCTGGGGAATGAGCCCTCCCACTGACCTGTGTCTGTGGCTTTTCCCGGGCTCCAGTGCCAGTCCTCAGCTATCCTGGTCCCTTAATAGGGACAGTTCCTGGGGGACGTTTCTCCTGGGGCTGGATAGGCCTGCTGGCTCCTGGATGTGGGGAGAGAGGCCTGGTGAGGAAGGCGTTCCGGAAGTGCCTAGCCAGGCAGCTCCTGAGCAACTAAGAGCCCTGGAGAGCAATTCCCAACCCTGCAAGACATGCCAGACAGCTAAAAGGTGTCTTTGGGGACCAGATGGTAGCACTGCAGAAAGACACAATGCTTTGGGGAGTTGACTGCCATAGGGAGGTTCCAGGTTGGCATCCAGAGGCCTCCCTGATTGCGCCAGGCTAACAGGCCCATGACCTGGGGCTGCCTGAAGCTGATGTGGAGAGCAGTGTGCAGATCCTATTCCCATCTCTCTCGCTTTCCCTCTCTCTCAGAAGAGATAAGTAAATAAACTTTATAAAAATGAATAAAAATTAAACAGGCCTTCAGTTCCCTGGCCTGCCTAGAGGGAAGCCCTGCGGGAAGGCAGAGACTGAAGGAACCTCACTTCCACGTGGCCTGCTCTCCTGCCCAGTCTCACCCCGGAATATCATCTGCCTTTCCCCAAAACAAAATTTGCTTTAGGCTGACATTCTGAAGCCCCATCGTGGGAGCCAGTGTTTTCACAATACGTGCGAGGGAATATCAGTTTGGCTGAACAGTGTCGGAGCGGTCCAAAAACAACCGCAGCCCTGGTGGTTTCCGCAGCTCGGATTCTGCTCCCACGCACAGGGGGGACCTCTGGCTCTCAGACCCACCCGCGCTGCCCCCAGAGGCCGGCGGGGTCGCCGGGGCCCCAGCCTCTTGAACACGTTGAACAAACAGCTCGAAACCCCATGACGCTCTGTGAAGGAACAGCAGCTGCACATCCCGCAATCTCTGTGCCTCCCCGAGATTTCTACCCGGTTCTTCCAATCCATCCCTCCCACCTACGCAGCTTTCTTCTCTGGAGCTTCCTACGCGCTGGAGAAAACTAGCACCGAGGTCCATCCTCTGCCTGACACAGCGTGGCCCTCCCTGCAAAGCTCAGGTTCACCTCCTGGTTCTGAGACAGGAGAGCAATCTGGAGCCTGACTCCCGTTTAGATGCAGTCTGAGTCTCCTTGGCCAACACACCAGCCTCCAGAAATCTGCTTTCCCTGTGCATGGAAAACACGACACGGGAGGCAGACTTGCAGCAACAACCAAACTGCTCTCTTCCTTGAAATCAAAAGAGCGCAGTGCACCTCCCACAAGCTCACCACTTTCTCCTTGACTTAATCTGCATGGCGGGAGGACAGACGACAGCGTTTGTCCCACGGGTCACCGGTTCTTTTCTCTTGGAGTAAAGAGATGGGCAAGAAACACAAAACCCAGTGCAAGTGTGGGCTGCCAAGGACCTGAGCCTGCACTCAGCATGGACTTCAGAGTCTTTTTACCCACAGGGCTAAAAAGAGCAGTGAGGGGTACCGACCTTGTCCCTCAGAGTCAAGGTCACCTGCCACCCTGGTGCTGAGGAAACAGCCCTGCATGATAGCACGAACCCTGGGCTTGGCATCAGCGGGGCTCCAGGTGGGACCTGGGCAAGTCACAGCTTTGTTTGAGCTCAGTCCCTGCGGCTGGTAAAGGGAAGTGATCACTCCTATATACTGGAGCTGTGAGCACGAAGTGAAACCATGCAGTTGGAAGCAAACAGTTAAGCCCATGAGAGTGTAAGGCAAAGGTATTTATTCCAGACTGAACTCCTGTGTTGATGGTGGGAGAGAAACAGCTCTGTTTGTTTATTGGCAGATGTTTAGATAGGGTAAGAGAAACCCTCTGGCCAGCGGACATGAAGGACTATGAATGTGGCATCACCGGGCCCAGGAAGCTAAGAATAAGAACAACAGCTCTTCAGCCTCAGATCATCCCCGAATCCACACTCAGAAAGGCCACCTGGATTCTAGTTCTAGTGTAGCAGTTAAGAACATGGGCTTTGAAGTCGGATATCTAGCCAGCACGTCTAGTTAGGCTGCATGACCTTGACAAAGTTGTTTAACTTCGATTTCTTCATTAGTGAAATGGAGATGTTATTAGTGCTTTTCTCAGAAGCCTGAGAGGTAATCAGATGAGGTAATATACCTAAGTGTTTTAGTTTTGAAAAGTAGAGTGGCTGAGAAACCCTAAAAGCCTAGAACGGGGTGGAACAGCTTTCTACAAGGCAAGGAAGTGCATGGACAGACAGCATGATAGATGTGGCATAATTCACTCTGTGACAAGCAGTGCTAATGGTGACCATTCACGTTTACTGAGAGCTTGCTATGTGCCAGGCACAGTACTGAACACTCCATGTGGATTATCTCTGAGCAAGCCCGTGGATTCTAAAAGCAAGATCACCTTAAGGCGAGTGGCCAGGAGGACTGAGCTTTCTGTTTGTGTGCATGGCTGCCAAAGAATTGCTCCAGTTCCCTGGGCTGTGTTTACTCCTTCAGCCCTTGGCAAGTCTATAAACCATTGGCTCTGAGAGTGTCCACGTGTCAGGCACGTGGGATCTGTTTTTCTCTAATTCACTAGAGTCTGAAACTAAAATGCTCTGACCTTCTCAAAGTCCACCTGGATGTGTGCAGTGCACTCAAGAAGCCTAAGGCCAAGAGTAAGTTGGGAAGACCTTTCCATAAGAGCAGCCTGAGGACCCTCTAGCCCAAGGCTGCTCCCTATAGTCAAGGATGTGTTATATCCATGTCCCTTCAGCATCTGGGCCTGATTTTTCACACAACAGGTATTCAGTCAATGTCTTAGGGCAAGGAAGACAGAATTGAGTTCCTATCCTCTCCTCCCCAACCCTGGCCCCTGTGCCAACCTGTCAGTGATAAATGAGTTGATAATCTGACCTGAAGATAAAGTCCTTCCTGGAGGCCACAGCATGAGAGGCATCTAAGTAGCTTTCAGAGGCTGGTGTCATGGGGAAGAATGTGATCAGACCACCAGAGTTAAAGCCTGGCTCACCTCTAGCTTGGCTGAGCAATGCTGGACAAATGACCTATCTGTGTACCCTTTAGTTTTCTTATATGTAAAACCTGGATGACAATAATAGAACTACTTTTTTCTGTTGGAAGGCACTTAATACAATGCTTGGCACATATAAAATTATTGTATAAATCATATGTAAACATGAATGTAGCTATGCATACATACATGCACACATATAGGCACACTATATAAAATAGCATACACACAAATGTGGCATGTGTGTAAGTGTGTGAATAACCCTTGAGGGCTAATAAGCAGCCAGTAAGGGTACATTCTACACTCACAGGTGTCCACTCAGACTTAAAAACACAGAGCAACCTGCGGATCAGTCACATAAACACTCCAAATGATGACTGCGTA